CTGCCTCCTCCCCGTTTCTTATTTCCCTCCCCCTCTTCCCACACATCGCCCCTCCCCCCACTCTTCTCCCCCATTCCCCACTCATCTCCCCCTGCCCCAAGTCCATTCTCCTTCCCTCTCGAGACTGAAGAGCAGTCCAGATTCCCTGCCCTGCAGCAAGTCCAAGGTCCTCCCACTTCTATCCAGGTCCAGGAAGGTGAGCATCCAAACAGGCTAGGCTCCCACAAAGCCAGTTCATGTATTAGGATCGAAACCTAGTGCCATTGTCCTTGGCATCTCATCAGCCTTCGTTGTCTGCCATGTGTAGAGAGTCCAGTTTCATCCTATGCTTATTCAGTCCCAGTCCAGCTGGCCTTGGTGAGCTCCCAATAGATCAGTTCCACTGTCACAGTGGGTGGGTGCACCCCTCGTGGTCATGACTTCCTTGCTCAAGTTCTCCCTCCATCTGCTCCTCATTTGGACCTTAGGAGCTTGGTCCAGTGCTCCAATTTGGGTCTCTGTCTCTATCTCCATCCATCACCAGATGAGGGTTCTAGGGTGATATGCAAGATATTCATCAGTATAGCTATAAGATAGGGTCATTTCAGGTTCCCTCTCCTCAGTTGCCCAAGGTACTATTTGGGGACATCTCCCTGGACACCTGTGAGCCCCTCTAGAGTCAAGTCTCTTGCCAACCCTAAGATGGCTCCCTTTATTAGGATATATATTTCTCTGCTCCCGTATCCACCCTTCCTATATCCCAACCATCCCCTTTTCCCAAGCTCCCCATCCTGGAAAAATTTGTTTACTCCATTTATAGTGAACGAAAGCTTGGCTGGGTATAGTAGTCTGGGCTTGCATCCATGGTCTCTTAGTTTCTGCAGTACATCTATCCAGGACCTTCTGGCTTTCATGGTTTCCATAGAGAAGTGAGGTGTAAGTCTGATAGGTTTACCTTTATAAGTTACTTTACCATTTTCCTTTGCAGCTCTTAATTTTCTTTATTCTATATGTTTTGTGTTTTGATTATTATATGGCAAGGGGATTTTTTTTGATCCAGTCTATTCGGTGTTCTGTATGCTTCTTGAATCTTCATTGGAATATCTTTCTTTAGGTTGGGAAAGTTTTCTTCTATAATTTTATTAAATATATTTTCTGGACCTTTGAGCTGTATTCCTTCTCCTTCTTGTATCCCTATTATTCTTAGGTTTGGCCTTTTTATTGTGTCCCAGATTTCCTGAATGTTTTGAGATGAGAGTTTGTTGCATTTTCTGTTTTCTATGATCAGTGCGTTTATTTTCTCTATGGTATCTTCAGAATCTGAGATTCCTTCTTCTATCTCTTGTATTCTGTTAGTTATTCTTGTTTCTGTAGTCTCTATTCATTTACCTAGATTTTCCATATCCAGCCGGCCCATGGTTTGTGTTTTCTTCCTTGCCTCCATTTCAGTTTTCTAGTCTTGAACTGTTTCCATTATCTGTTTGATTGTTTTTCCTTGGTTTCCTAGGATATCATTTATGGATTTACTCAATTCTTCAAACTTTTTGTATCTTCTCATCGATTTCTTTAAGGGAGTTTTTCACCTCCTGTTTAAGGGCCTCTATCACTTTCATAAAGTCAATTTTTTCTACTTCTTCTTGATTAAGGTGTTTAAGTCCTCCTGTTTTAAATTTCCTGGGTTCTGGTGATTTCATGTTGTTTTTCAGATTGTTGGAGGAATTCTTGCATTGGTGCCTGCTCATATCTTCCTCTGAATGCTCCCCTATGGATCTTCTTTTACAGGATCAGGTCTCCTTGCTGGCCAGGGAGCTCACAGACAAAAGGTCTACCTTACTGTAGGCAGGCTATTGGAACAAAGGAACTCCTGCCCACCCGGTTATACTCACTACCTCGTCCCAGCGCCCAAACAGGCTGAGCTAGGGGATGTTATGGGCCCAAAGAGGGGAGGGAAAAGGGAGGGGTTTTCTGGATGCAAGCTGGGTGGGGTAGGAAGAGAGAGGCAGTAGCCAGGGAGAATAGCCCCTGCGGGAAGACCAGGAAATATAGGAGGTTGAGGAATGTCTGTGCTCCATCTCCCGGGCTGCTGCCGTGGTTCAGGAACTCACTCACCCCACTGATGGATCTTCTGGTATTGAGATCAGGTCTCCTTGCTGGCCAAGTAGCTGGCATACAAAAGGCCTACCTTGCTGCAGGCTGGCTATTGAAACAAATGAACTCCCGCCCTACTGGTTGCACTCACTACCTGGTCCCAGTGCCCAAACAGCATGATTTTGTAAATGTTATTTTCTTGCTAATCTCATGTTGTATGTATTTGTTGCTTTAGACATGAGTGCATTAAATAAAAGTAAATGATTATGTTGAGTGTTTTGGTGAAGTTTTAATGCCAGCAGTAATACAATAGAGATAGAAGGATTATAATAAGAATTATATTCTTATTATATATTCTTATTATATATTCAAGAGACCTGTCTGCTCTAAAATCAAGATTTTAGTTCAATACCAAATGCTGGAGGTAGTTTCATGATATGACTCTTGGGTAGCATGTAAAAGGCTATGTATACCACCACTAAAATTGTAATTTCTAAAATTTTTACACTAATTCTAATAATTAAATCTACTCTCAAATTGTGTGAGTCTCTGCCTCAGTCCCCAATGAGTTGTAATCATGGATGTGCAACTGCATGTGATTATAACTTTGTATTCCTGTGTATTTTTGCATATCAATGTTGTACAAGCAAAGACATATTGTTGTAAGGAGAGAGCTACTTGTTGGTTCCTGCCTGCTTAGCCCAATATAATCACAGAGAAACTGTATTAATTAAATCACTGTTTGGACCATTAGCTCTAACTTCTTATTGGCTAACTCTTACATATTAATTTAACCCATCTCCATTAATCTGTGTATTGCCACATGGCTGTGGCTTACCAACTAATGTTTCCAGTGTCTGTCTCTGGCAGGGCTACATTGCATCTCTCTGACTTTGCCTCCTTTCTCCCAGCATTCAGTTTAATTTTCTCCACCTAGCTCTGTTCCCCTAACGCAATGCTCTGTTATAGGCCAAAGTAACTCCTTTATTAGCCAATGATATTCACAACATAAAAAGGGGAATTCCACATCAACATATAAACCTGCTTTTTGGTTTTAGTTGCTGAATAGAGGTGAGAAGATAGCAAGCTATCATTGCCTCTTCTCTGAACATGATGGGAAAGATTTATTCATTCAATTTCTGTGTTAGCTCTTAGTTTCCATAGAAAGTTTTCATCAACAAAAGCGAGTTACATCTCTTTCTATTTTTTGTAAGAATGTTAAGCAGGGAAGAATGTTGAGTTTTACCTAAAAATTTATCATAATACTCTGTCTCTGGCTGTTTGTGTGATTTGACTTTATTCTGTCTTGTACCTCCTTGGGTATCACATATATGATAATGGACCAGGATTCATTTCATGTTTCTGAATTCAGTTGGTGAGTGATTTCTTGATAAAGTTTCTGATAGTACTTGCAAATCACATATCCATACAGGATTCCTATCCAGGATATATTCTGATTTTAGTAGCAAGGAAATACTAGCTTCCAGACTAAAATTTTGCATGCTCTCAAGTTTTTTAAGTTTTGAAAATGCATATGAAGTATTGGTTAGAATTTTCTGTTAACTATTTCATAGAATTCCACACAAAATCTTTCTGAAGCAGAACTTTTCTTTCTAGGTGTGTTTTTATTTGTAACTTAAAGATTTTGGGGTATAGTAGGCATTCTATATTTTATAATTCTAATCATTTCTACCAATATGTTTTCATTTTTGTTGTTTTTTACCTAAATTATTGAATTTTTGTCATTAGTGAATAAAATAACTGTCACTAAATAAAATTTTCATTTTAATCATGTCTTTTTCTTTTATCTATAGTACTCTTTCCATTCCTTAAGAAAATATATGAAAAATTAAATATCTTCATATTTTCAAGTGAAGCTATGACATTTTTAAAGATTTTTGTAGAAAAGACCAAAAAAGATCGACTTGAAAATAACCAAGAGGTAAAATATAACAAAATTTATTTCAATTTTGAAGTATTGCTATAACATGTCACACATTCCCCTGACAAGGTTCTAATAGGATATTTTATTGATTCTTATTAAGCTCTACATTTTTCTCTGTTTCCCTCCCTGCCACTCCCCTCCCCTTCAGCCCTCTCCCAAGGTCCCTGTGCTCCCAATTTACTCAGGAGTTCTTGTCTTTTTCTACTTCCCAAGTAGATTAGATCTATGTATGTCTCTCTTAGAGTCTGGATTTTTGATAAATTTAGTCTGTTTAATGTGATTTGTGGCTTGCTTTAAGCTTGGGGTATGTCTTTGAGCACTGAGCATGTTACTGGAGTAATCCAGCTTTAACTAATATTTCCTATATGATAGCCTAAGAATGATGGCAGAAAGATGATGTCAGAAGAATCTCAGGGAATTAGTATCTTTCCTAAGGTTACTTCATTTTGTTGAGCATTCTGGGATTTGGAACATTTGTAGGTGATCACATAAAACAAAAAAATGAGCTCCAGAAACAGTAGTTGATGAGTATGGGATATTGATTAAGAATATGTCAAGTAACAACAGATTGATTGCGAAATTTATTTCTACACAATTATCTATGGCAGTATAGGAAACTGATAATCATTCAGTAAGGGTCTGTCCTTAGCAGATGCAGATACTCAGAATGAGGAAAAGCCATAAGAACGGGTGTTGGACATGCTAGCATTATACTAGACCTTGATAGATTCTTTGTTCTCCAAAATCTGTGGATGAGTTTTTGTGTCACTAGTGATTTAGGAAAACTTAGACATAGTCTGACTGTAATTAGGCCATATCCTCATAAGAGTTTAAGGTCTTCATTCCATACTCATTTTTTACTTCACATTACAACTTATGCCCTTGAAAATTGTGTCTGTTTTCAGAACCGAGTGGACTTTCTTCAGCTGATGTTGAACTCCCAGAATTCCAAAAATGTGGAGTGTCATAAAGGTAACTAAAAATAACTTGGGATCTAAAAGAAAAGCACAGAGGGTGAGGCTTGTTCTTGAAATATAAGGGAGTCATTTAAGCAGAGAAGGTTTCCAGCTCAATTGCAAAAAGAGATATGTTTGCTATGGGCAACAGTTAGAGGAATTATCTAAAAGCACACAGTATAAGAATGCTCAAACTCTGAGGATTATTGCGCCTTCTATCAATGACAGGGAAACTACAATCATGATATTTCATCAACATGGCTACTTAAGACCTGAATAGTTCCAGAAACAATAGACATTCTTACATAGGTGAGAGAAATCGCATCAGGAACCACCCTTAGATGAAGAGCTGCAGAAATAAGTCTTCCTCAGGAATGAGCACCCTTATTGGCTATCTAATATCAAGTCACTGGCCCTAGCCCTAAAATATGTAGGCAACACTAAGAAGACTCATCAGACTATATTTATATGATTATTCATTTGCATGTGTGTAACAATAACGGTTAATGAAGAGGAGCCATGAATTTGGGAATGAGTGGGAATATAGCATAGGAAGAATAAGAGTGATATCAGAAAAGGGTAAAAATGATATGATTAAATTGTATTAAAGTTACAGAAATCTTAATGTCATCTGTAAACATGACTTTCATGCTTTCAGTGCATCCAGTGATGTGTGGGTCACCTGCATCAGTCAAATGCTAATTCTCAGCCTCCTTCAGAGCCAGTGAATCAGAACCTCGGCCTGTAAATCTACTTCCATAGGATATAAGAAGGAGGGGCAGTAGCCACACATAAATATTTACTGCGTTTCATACGGTAGATGTGTTCACTAGCTTAAGGCACTAAGGAAATGTATTTTAATTTTCAAAATGATCTACTACAAATAATTCATTGTGAGTGAATTATTTCCTCTTCATCCTTTTACGTATTGTCACTGACATGAGTATTTTAGAATAATTTTTACTAATATGTTAGTATTGCAATGTTTAGAATATTACAATTATCTAATTTTGTCACTTATTCTGCATTTAAAAATCAGTGTACAATTCAAAGAGTATTTCTTACATACCAGTTAACTTCTAGTATAGTCTCTAACTTTTTCCTCACTAATAAAATTTTACATGTTTGCAAATTCTATCTTTTTAAATCATAGTTTGCAACATGCTTTGTGTTCTCTGAGATTAGTGAATTTGTTCCTCTCATGTACTTCTAGATCTTTCTTTGTAAAACACTACTTGTAAAAAAAAAAGACTATTTTTAGAAAAATTTTGGTTCAAAGTCCCATTGATGAGAACGTAATATTTCCTCAATACTGACCAGCCTAGAATCAAATACATTCCCCAGCAATCAGTATCCCCACTCTATTGGTAGATACATTATAATTGATTGGTAGGCATTAACATACTATTGTTATAGACTTTGTAGTTGTCATAACATTTAATTCTTGTCCATTATATTCTATATATTTTGATTAATATAAGATGTGAACATCCTATTCAATTATGGTGACAATCAGCAATTTGCGTGCCTTTGAAAACATTGATGTTCTTTAAATAGCTATTGTATAGAATTTAAAACAAAAATCAATGTATTGTGGTCAAGTCTACCCAAATTTCCTCATCTTCTACTTCTCCTGAATCCCCCCACCACCACTTTCCCTCCATGTTTATATCCTGTCTTAAAAAAAAACCTACTGAGTCCTTGGTGCTGCCTGCACATGATGAGTATATGACCATGTATGGCAGTGTGAATAGAATCCCAGATCCCCATTTCTTAAAAGGGATGTCTCTACATTTCTTTGCAGTCATCAAATACCAAAAGCTCCTCATTTTACATGTGGGACATCATAAACTCTCTCCAACCCACATTAGGATTTTGGCTAGCTTGATGTAATACAAGTACCTTGGATGCATCCCACCTCCTGTGAGTTCATCTGTGCGAGGACTCTGCCTTCTCCAGCAAGCACTCATCCTGCAGAAATCCACCACTTCTGGCTCTGACAATCATTTTTTTATTCAAGGATAAACTCTGAGTCATGGAGCTAAAAGGTATATAATGTAGATGTCCCATTAAGAACTAAGCACCACACGGTCTCTTATTCTTTGCATGTTGACCAGTCCAGGATCTCTGTATTGTCACTTATTTTAAAAAAATAAGTTTCAATGATGAAGGCTAAGAGATGCACTGACATAGAAGGAAAAAGATAAAAAAAAAAACTAGGAAACAGTTTACTACTGAGTCATTACACTGTTAGACTCTTCCATAGGACCTATGACCCGCTCTGCCTTATACCTTTGTCCTAGTTGCCAATAGTAGGCTTGCGTTCTTTCCCAACATTGTGTTACTATCATTCCAAATGTCATTACCAAGCAGGCTAGTTATTACTGTTGCTCACAAGGTTTACAGCTAGGCAACAGTATTGATTACGTCCCCTTCCCTGGCAGAGTGCATAGAAGCATGCTTCACTGTGAAAGTTGCTCAGCAGGGATAAAACTTCCAGATTCAGTAACAGCGTGATTTCTTCATGTCTGTGACTTAAATATGTAGTGTCTTCAGCAATAAAGTCTTACAATCAGTTCTGAAAGGTGACAAAGAATAAGGGTCATAGACAGTAATGTCTGGAGCCCACACACCAGCAACTATCAAAAGGGACAACTCAGCTATGGTCTTTCCTTCCTTCCTTCCTTCCTTCCTTCCTTCCTTCCTTCCTTCCTTCCTTCCTTCCTTTTTTCCTTCCTTTCTTCTTTCTATCTTTCTATCTATCTATCTATCTATCTATCTATCTATCTATCTATCTATCATCTATCTATCTATCT